TAATGTAGCAAGGTGTACAGATTACGATTGTGCCGGGTTGTAGATATATATACATTTCCACTCTGTGTCCCGTTGTAGACATTATGTCGTGCTGTAGAGACATCAGTTTTAGTGTTTGCTGAACAGAGTATTGTGATACTATTTATGTTTGTAAGATTGGTTTTACTTTTATCTTTTACATAATTACTGTATGGAATTGGGTAGTTTTATGTAACGTTTGATGATGTGTACAGAATAATAATCAAGTGAGTGTTAACAGGGACACATACAACATGATAACCAAATCATCATTTGTTGTATTAGAATGTTCCCTTATTTAATAGAATATCATATGCGCATGGGTAAGACAACGTTTTACCTAGTCCCAAGGTTGAGTTTATAGCAGTACTTCAAACTTACATCATCCATGACATTGATTCCGAAATCCTGTATTTTATTATCCTTTATTTTTGAAGGGTAGCTAAATGGTTCGTTCTTGTGATTATAGTTGTCAATTCTGTAATTTTATGAAATATCCAACAACTTGTTTCATCTTTGTGTTGTGTGTGTAGTTTAGCAGATCCAATATGAGAAAAAAATGTTACTGAGACCATTTAGATAGAGCAGTCCGGGACAACAGTTTAATATCCAGCACTGGACTGAGTAGCAGTTAAACAAAATAAGCTATTTATTTATTTACTCCGATTACTGTCCAAAAACACTTTGCACAAACATGTATTGTATCTCATCTGTGATTTAACGTACAAAATAATGACTGTAATAGCACCATTATTAAGTCAAGATAATGATATTTAAAAACTCTATCGGTCAAGATAAGAAATAAGACAACATTTTATCATTAACAAAAGTTATAAATTAAAGGGAGGTAACTCTAACACAAAAGCGATGTACAAGGAGATAACTAGCACATCACAGCAGATACCATCAACGATATCCAGGAGTTACGCTCACTTACGCTCTCTGCACCCCTGGAATATGTCATAGCAGAATCGAAGGTTGCGTGTGCACCGCCTTGTTCCTTTGATGTACATCAAAACTATCTCGCTGTCGCGTAACGGTAAAAAATGACCAACTCTAAAGTCGGGCATCTCTCCTTTGTAATCGTCAAAGGACAGACATCAGCCTAGCGCTTGGTCAAGTGTTTTTTTTACACGAGACCATTCAAACAGCTATCTTTGTGCCTTCAATTTTGCTATGACATATTCCAGGGTGCAGAGAGCGTACGTGAGCGTAACCCCTAGATATCGAGGATGGCCAGAGACGTCTAAAACAAGTATTTAGTCCAGATCTGAACACATATTCTATAACGAGCAAGGCAATGAATAAGGTACCAAATTTAACAAGAGACCCATGGGTCTTAATAGCTCACCTGTTCTTTTTTGATAAGAAACAGCCAAATGGATTTCAAGAACATGTTTCAAATCTTGGTGTTAATTTTGCATAACTGCATGTTTTGTCATGATATAAAATAGAATTTGTCATCCTACTGCATTTATAAATGGATTATTTTGATAAGTAGTTCCCTGGACCGTTGTTCGAACCATCTGATACTGAACCTCACCTAAAATTTACAAACACGAATAGTTTAATATTTATTGAAATTTTCTGCACGTGTCGGGACAAATAACTCTTGTTGGTTGCTTCATCCTATATAGAAAGGAGACTACTCTAAAACAAAACAAGAGGCCCAATGGGCCTGCATAGCTCACCTGGTATTATTCCCACACTTGTAACCTTAAAAGTGATCTTAGATAAAGATAAAGGCAAAATATCAGTACAGTGTATTTATGATTAAAAGTCATTCAGAAGAACATGTTAAAAGATTTAAAAACATTTCACCGCTGTGACCTTGATAGTCGAACAAGGTCATTATGGTGAACACATTTTATAGCCCTTCATCTCAGGATGCAACTTACAAAATATCACCACCCTATCTTTTTGTTTATTGAAATTAGGTCATTTAAATGTTTAAACATATTTGACTAAATGTGACCACGAAAGTGAATCAAGGTCATTCAAATGAAAAAGCTTGATAGCCCTTCATCCAAGCATGCTACTGGATAAATATCAACATTTTGGCCGTCGTGGTTATTCAGAAGAAGTCGTTTGAAGATTTTAAACAAATTTGACTCCTGTGACCTTGAATATAATCAAGGTCTTTCACTTAGCCCTTAATCCCACCATGCTACTGCCAGATATCAACATTCTAGGCCTTATGGTTATTCAGAGATTCAGAGATTTTTATTATCACTCAGGCACACTATTGTGCGCAACAAGAGGTCATCATAAAGTACAATATAACAATGATATGGTTGACCGTAAAGCAATCATCTTACTATGCTAGCGTACAATAATATAGTGGAAACTATTACACTCCTCATACAATGATAAACACAATATTACACTGTACTATCATACCTTATTATAATAGACAGTATAACGCACTGATCATACAATGACACTCATCATACACTGTGATATACATTATTACACTCATTTTACAATACTATTACGATGGTATAATACATAGCATTACATTCACACATACCGTGCGTTCACACTATGGTATAGCAGGCACTGTTGCATCCATCTTACAGTACAATCCTACAATAATATTATTACAGTATTACACATATATTACTCGCACTCCATGATACATATATTATAGATAGTATACCACACCATACAGTGCAATCATACCATGGCATAATAGTGACTATACTACTCATCATACCATATAATATTACAAAGGTATAATAGACAGTGTTACAATCCCATCATACAATACTGTAATAGACAGATAACAAACAAACCATGATAAGCAAGCTGTAACCACACTCATTATGCAATACAATTATGTTAGGTTTAGCAAATGATCAGTAATATCTATATGTATACAAAAGTTTACAGTTTGATGTGTGAAATTCACATATTATTTTTTAATTGTCTTTCTAGTAATTGTATGAACAGCGATAGATTTGATAATATTCTAACATTACATATTGATATTAATCCTTTCATTTTATGAACAGATGGATTAGAGGTGTAATAAATAGGTATATATTTTCTGCGGATTTGACTTACATAAGCATTTGAACATATAAACAAATAATGATACTCGCTTCCAACTCCAGTAAAACAAAGCGGACAGATTCTGCCTTCACGTGGTGTTCTAGTCCATCGCCCAGTCTCTATAGGCAGAGATATATTACTGGTTCTGAACTTACAGATAGTTATTCTATCTTTTTGTTTGAGCATAGTTAAGTATTTTTCAAACTGAAATTGATGTTTAAATATTGCATATGTTTGACCCCGGGAAGAATTTTCAATATCAGTATACCATTGTTGTATAAATTGGTCATACAGAATAGTTTTAAAACTAACCCTAAGGTAATTTTTATTCATAGTGCAAGTTTTTTGTTGTAACCATACGTAACTTAGTCCCGTGCAATTGAATAGATTCTTGATATATGAAATCCATTTAAAATCAGCGAAATCATTTTCATGTAAATTCAGCATAAGCTTGTACATTATACTAGACAATTTATTTTCACCTGTAATTAGTTTATACCAAAACATTATCATTCTAGATTTAATTTCAATATTCAGAGGGTACCTACCCGTTTCACCATATACCATTATATTTGCTGTGGAGC